AGCATTGTGTTTTGACTTTCGGATGCAAGACACGAGATCAAATGAAAAACCTTTTGGTCTGGAAGAATGTATGGGATTGGGAGGTGATGAGATTGTGTAGTATGAACACTGCAAAACAAAGAGCAAATATTCTGAAAAAAAGACAGGAATTCAGTTTAAGACGTGTCAGATCTTAGTATAATAGCAGTGGGAAAAGGCTACGAGAGGTCACTAGTTTTCTTGATTAAATGTCAGCAGGAGTTGTACACACAGAATAAAACAAAATGAGAGGGACTTTAACAGGGACTCAAATACAGCAAACATGGAAATACTGACATTTTCATCTAGGAAAACTGTAAAATTAAGGTCCCAGTTGAAGACCTAAAGATATCAGTTTGCTTTGGACCCAGGATGTGAAAAAGAATGAGCATGTCTGTAATTGCAGAGTTCCCACAGTCACGAGTCTCTCTCTAACAGCACTCAACAAGGTGTGTGAAGAAACAGGTTGGAAGGTGTGACAGGTTTGTGACTGCTACATCTGTTTACTAAGGGTAGACAGGAACACAAAAAAAGAGGTTTTTTACTGTGAGGGTGGCCAAATTCTGGAGCAGGCTGGCCAGAGAGGCTATAGGTCTCCATCCCTGGGAGATTATCAAAGCCCCGTGGGACAGACCTGGGCAACCTGCTCCAGACACCGCGCTTGAGCAGGGGCTTGGGCTAGATCTCCTCAAGAGGTCCCTTCCAAACCAAATAATTCTCCTTTTAAATTACCTGGTACTCCACAAAATGATGGAGTTAACAGCAGAGGAAGCATGGAGAAAAATTCAGCAAATTAGCTGAATGAAGGGAAAGCGAAAAAAATGAGCAAATGGAGAGAAGAGTGAGAAGATTTTTGAGTCCTGTTTCTCAGCATAAAAGAACATCAAACCTAAGAATGGGGGTGGTACAAAGTAATTTTTCTGAAAACAAAAACAAAAACAAAAAAAGGCAAATTACTTCAGATAAAAGAAAAGTCCCAAGAGGCAAAGGTCTATGAATTTAGCAAGTGCAAACATAGTTGATAGTCTGTGGATGGCAACAAGTCACCTCTGACAAAGTAAACCTCCATTCCTTTGCTGGAGGGTTGGGGTTTTTTGGTCAGGTCTCACCTGCAGAAGGCAAGGTGCATCCCTAACTGAAAACATGAGACATTGCACTTGGAAGTGCGTTCATGGAAAGATCAGCGTGTCTTTTGTTTCTAGCCTCTTAGTTCCCAAGATGTCTTGAAAAGGTTTGTAAATGATATATCCTCTACCTTTGTGACGGAACTCTTAAAATCTGCTGACTGCAGCATTTGCATTTTTACTTCAGGCCATAGAGTCTTCAGAGCATCAGCAATTAATCACAAGATCAGCCTTTCGGATTAGCAGGACTATTCTTTGCAACTTACTGAAGTGAGCTTTCATACTCTTTATCACACTCTTTACAAAGCTAAGTTTTTTCTTTTTCAAAAAAATATCCATCAAGGGAGAGAACTGATACTCATTCTGCTCACGCAGGTACCACTTAACTCCACAGTTTTTATGTCAGATGAGACTTTTCTAATGCAATTGCCATTTGCAAGGCTTGCACCAGCAGAAAAGGATCCCCTGCCATATGCTGACACATTTAGACGGATGTGTCACAAAATGCCTGGTTTTTATAACGCATCCTATTGTTCTAAACATGCGAATATAAACAGGAGGCCAGTCCACAATGCTAGCTGTACTGGCAAGACACATAAATAGGCTCTGGGGGTGGAACTGGAAGGTGGCTTTCAAATCATTAAATAAATCTGATTTGATGTGAATGGATTTGGGTTTGGTTCAAACTCTGAAACGGCTTATGCTTCAGATGTTCTGCAAACGGGATTACCCAGATTTAGGGTTATTTTTCTATCAGGCATGTCAAATGCTAAATTAAAAAAAAAAAAAAAAGAATCTGGATTATTTTTTTTGTGATACGCCCTCGGGCTCAAAGAATGTGACAGAGCATATACTGTAAGTACAGTTGGATCCCTAGTGAAGAATAAGCTCTAGAAGGAATGAATGCCAGGGACAGCTTGATAATACATGTTCCCTCCTGCAAAGTAATTTGATTTAGCAGAGCAGAAAAGACAAGCAGTGTATTATACCCTCCTGACTGAGGATGTCGTCCCATGCTGGCCTCAAGACCCAGCAAAAGTTAAATGAAGGACTCTGATTTTATCTGTGGCATACAGCACCAGCGAGTGAGAAGCACTGTTGAATCCTGCTCAGTCACACCTCCTCCCCTGCATTTTGTTTTCCTTATGGTAGAGGATGGAAGGTGCAGAAGACACCTTTGCTTCGTTAAAGGGAGTCGTCCTCTAGAAAAGAATCTTCTGCCGATCATTTTCAGAATTAACCTGAAACAAGTATCTGGACTGCCGTGCAGTTTGTGCGGCCAGCTCTCAGGTCCAAACTGGTGCTCACGATTCTGGTCTTCTGCTGTCCTGGGTGGGAATTTGCAGCTGATCCTTGGAAACTTCTGAATGGTTCCGTTTGGTGATTGGCTATTTCTATATGGAAACTCAGGCACTTTCTTGGCACTTAATCTGAAATAATGATGGGCAGCTCATCGCCTGTCATCCCCCCAGGAGGGGTGACTCGTGCCAGGCAGTAACAGAGAAACACACAGGAGCCAGGGCAGGAGGCCACCAGCTCACTGCAAGTCCTTGCAGTGGTCACTCACTCACCCGAATTTCTGTATGTAGACTGATGGACCTGATTTTAGGGCCCCAAATCTACAAGTCATAATCAGTACTCACAGCACTGCTCAAATTTGCAACTGCTCCCGAATACCGAGTTCTCTGGTGCACCGACACACGGCATTCAAACGTTTCTTTCGAAGAGGGGCAACTTCTGCCAAAAAAAAGTAGGAGCCACACCAAGGTGTCCTTGTTGATTCTGCCTTCAGTCCTTCCTCCTCAGCACAGCATGTCGTATTTGGGAAGTAAACTTCTGATTCCCCGGCTTTCGGAACGCACACGATGCTGGGCACGTGTCGTTTTCTGGTTGCAGTTTCCACACGGCCTCTGGTCTTTTCTCGGACTCTAAATGAGGTTTAGTTCTCTGGGAAAAATCTAATTACACAGGAAGCTCAAGTCACTGATAGCAACAGCTGTGGTCACATTGTTACCTAAACAGATGAACTGTTAATAGAAGTGTTATAGGTAGATTAAGGCCAATCACATCCAAATATGGATTAATGAATCTTTATTAAGGTAAGAGAGCAAATGCAGCGCTGGGGTGGCCGAGGAGTCGAAGCTCCATCCAGCCTCACCAAGTTTCAACCCCCCTTTTATCCACCCAGCTGCCGGTTTCAACACCTTCAGCACGCCTCCTGGCTTCTTCTACAATCTTCTTTCTTCGGTCCTGTGGGTCACGTACACCTTGTCCTTCAAGTCTGGGCCAATTTGCAGCTCCTTTGTCTTTTATGGCTCAGTGGTTTCAGTTCCTCTCTTATCTCAAGGACAAGGGATACCAGAGATGGCCCATTCTGTTCCTTCTCCTTCCATTGCAAAGGAGTTACCACCCTTTGATATGGATCATCTGGTGAGCATCCCAAGAGGGGGGGCTGTTGGGTTGGTGTTTCCTCAGATCAATTCCCCCCTTTTCCCAGTAGTAAAGTCTTTTACTTTTCTTAAAATTTGGATCATTGTACTAATAATAGCTTTAGCCTAGGAAGTAATTGTTTAATTACTTTTAGCGAAAGCAAAATTCTTCTATTATTTATCATAGAAGGGTGGCTGACACAGGTAACAGAGAAAAAACAGGTTAGGTGGTGGGTTTTCTGATGCTTGCTTTGGGCAGCACACACAGCAAGCATTTCCACTCTTCCCCAGAAAATATGTTGGCTGGACGTTTTGGTTTGGTTTGTTTTTCTTTTTTTCCCCTATCTACTGTGTCAACTTTAAAGCTCTTTCCAGCCCATGCAGCAGCGCAGCCTTGGTTGTACTTCCACGTGGGTTTTTTTTCTCCGACGCTCTGGCACCCCTACTCACGTGCGGAAAACAGACTCCACAATCTGATAGATTGTAAAGTAGGTATGTTTATTCAGCGCTGGGCACACAGGGGATAACTCCTCCTATTGTGCGCGCTGATATGGCACCGTTACCTTAGATTTATAGAGCAAATGATTACATATTCATAATATTTCACAATACGCCTATACATATGCAACACCTATCCCCGTTTCGTATTATAATTAGCATTTCCATAATCTCCTCCCAATTGAGCCTGCGCAGTGTCTTCTGGTGGTGGTCGTGGGGGTCTTTGGGGATGAAGTCAAGCTCCTCTTCCTCCTGTCCGCTCTGTGACCCCAGGTTTCGCGCAGACTCAGTCTCTTACTGGCTGTTGTCCAAACCGTAGGTCTAGTCCCAACCGGCTTTGTACTGATAAAGCCTAAAGACTCCATGCCTCAGCTCATCATGTTTTACAAACTATCTACTCATTAAGCAGAACTGTTATCTCAACTATTTCCCTTGTCATCCCCTTCTTGCTATTCCCATATTAACCCTTACATCCCCTGTTCCTATCTAGGCCCTGTATCACTACAGCCTGCGCAGGCACCCAAATCAGGCTGTGAATTTCACGAAGCCACACGCACCAAGGCCTCGGGTAACATTTTCCTGTTGCCTCCCATGCCACCGAAACCCCAAGAAACTCGGAGCGAAAAATAAAGCCCGTCCTGCGTTCAGCACGGTCCCAACCGAGGGCAGGAGTCAGGGGCCGCCCGATGTCCGAAGGCCGCTTGACACCGCTGCCCCGCGGTTAATCCTCGCGCTGCCAACCACTCGCAACGTCAATAAAACGCGACGTTCGCGGAGCCGCTCGTGATGACGCACCACCAGGAGCCTTCCAGATGACGTCAGATTGCCCCGCCCCTCCGCAGGCGCCGCGCTGACGTCAGGAGCGCGGAAGCTGACGGAGTAAACCGCGGGGGGGGGGGGGGGGGGGGGGTGCGGACCCCGCTCCGCGGCATCTAATCGCCCGCGCAATAAACGCGCAGCTGCTGCGTAAAACGGGTGCGCGGCACGGCCATGACGTCACGCCTGCGCACTCCCGGAGCCGGGGGCGGCCTCTCGCCCCGCTCCGCCCCCCTCCGGGGCCGTCAGGCGGCGGCTCCCGCCCGGGCCGCGGGAGTTACGCGGGGTGCGGAGCGCAGCCGCCATGGCCGCCGTGCCGCTGCCTGCGCGGGGGCGGCGGGGGACCCTGCGCGCGCACGAGCCGGAGCCGGGAGAGCCGGAGCGCGTAAGTTCCGCCCGCGGGCGAGGGAGGGAGGGGGGAAAAACGGCGGGAAACGGCGGCTCGACCCTTCCCGGGGCTGAGGGGCAGCGCCCCGCAAACTGCCCGCCCGCGGCGGCAGCGGCCGCCTCCTCTTCCTCCTCCTCCTCCTTCCCCTCTTCCTCCTCCTCCTCTTCCCCCTCCTCCTCCTCTTCCCCCTCCTCCTCCTCCTTCCCTTCTTCCTCCTCCTCCTTCCCCTCTTCCTCCTCCTCCTCCTTCCCCTCTTCCTCCTCCTCCTCCTTCCCCTCTTCCTCCTCCTCCTCCTTCCCCTCTTCCTCCTCCTCCTCCTTCCCCTCTTCCTCCTCCTCCTCCTTCCCCTCTTCCTCCTCCTCCTCCTTCCCCTCTTCCTCCTCCTCCTCCTTCCCCTCTTCCTCCTCCTCCTCCTTCCCCTCTTCCTCCTCCTCCTCCTTCCCCTCTTCCTCCTCCTCCTCCTTCCCCTCTTCCTCCTCCTCCTCCTTCCCCTCTTCCTCCTCCTCCTCCTTCCCCTCTTCCTCCTCCTCCTCCTTCCCCTCTTCCTCCTCCTCCTCCTTCCCCTCTTCCTCCTCCTCCTCCTCCTCCTCCTCCGGCCGGATTCACCCCAACCAGGTGTCCCTCGCCCACCACCCTGTACGCATCTCTCATCCCAAGAAGTCCAACGCTGGTAACTTTGCTGAACTGCGGGACGTAAACGCGGTTAAACCGCTTTTAACTTTGCAAAACCAAGAGAAACTCTCCCCGGTGTTCGCGCTCTCCCCCCTCTGTTACTTGATCGGCCCTGTTCGCATGTGACATGAGCAAAAACCTGTGTAGTGGGGGGCTAACCTCATTTATCGGAGAAACACCCTTGGCAGAGAGGAGGAGAAACATCCGTTCAGTGAACTTTCTGACTGACTGACAAGGTTATGTGGAAAAGAAGGCATTTCTTCCTCCTGTTTTTGAGGTTAGAGAGGCCAATAATAGCTTTCTTCTGGTTCATGAATTTCAGTTTGTCCACTAACGAGGGCATTCGTGAGCCGGTTGTCTGGAGATAAAATTCTTCTGGAACTTCTATGACAGAGCAACTCGGAATTGCTGCCGCTACCTCTGTAGATAGCGGAATGCACGAGTCAAGCTCTGCAAGGTAGCTTTAAAAGAGAACTTTTCTTACTACAGTTCACATTTTCTGTGTAGAGTAGCCTAGACAAGACATTAGAGGTTGTTTTTCTGTTTTTTTTTTGTTTGTTTTTGTTTTGTTTTGTTTTGTTCTGTTGGGGTTTTTTTTGTTTGTTTTGTTTTGTTTTGTTTTGTTTTCTATAACCGCAGTTGTTATGATCCAGATTAAAACTGAGCCACCACGGCTTAATGCGTTTCAGTGGCCGGTTGAGCTGCTGCAGCCGCGATCCGTGAAACGTTTGCACTTCACCTCTCTGACCGCTGAGGTGATGCGCACTGATCACATTCTGCCCTCTGTACCTGCTCGCCGTGGTGCAGGGATTTCCCAGCTAAATAATTGACAGCTAGTTTATTTTCGGTTTTAGCTAACAGCACGAGCCGGAGTGGCGGAGCAGACGAGGTGCTTCACTTTGTAACCATACGGGGTTTTGCACGTCTTAGGTCTAATATCAGGACGTTTGTCGCTCTTCTCCGTGGGATTCTGCCCCAGTTTGAAGCCGTTGCCTGTACTGGGGCTTGAAGTCGTTCGGAGCGCTGTGCCGGCCGTTGCAGAGCTGTTACTGCTGAGTCAGCTGCGCGGGGAGGCGAGCCAGAACTCAGCTCTGCTAACTGAAGCAAGGACAGGCTGATCCCAGGGTCTGAGGAGACGACTAGTTTGAAGTTTTAATCACCCTCTTATTTGATGCTGCTGTCAATTTATATATGCTATCAATTGATAAATGTTTTTTTCAGCTCTCCCTCAGCTCCCACTGGATGCTATATATATGTACACGTGATCTCCTTCTGTACCTTGGTGTAGTTATCTGCATGTATTTCAGAAACTTGCTTTAGGGTGGAGCTCCTTGATGTTGTACTGGTTTTAAGGCATTTGGATGTAGAGGCCAGTAAAGAATAACAGATTTTTTTTCAAGGCTAGAGCTATTCACATGGCGTGTTCTGGAAGAAGTACCTACAGAAGCTAGCTTGGCTTTTCAAAATGTGGTAAACAAAACAGAAATGGCATGTGATGAACATACTAATTTATAGGACATCTTTCAAATCTTACTGCTAAATTAAAAAAAAAAAAAAAGGCAAGTGGTAGCCTTTCTTAAAAATCCTTTCTGTTACATCTAGGCTCATTATTTCAGCGTAGCTAGTTTTTGCACCAGTTTAGTTTCTCTGTTTATGAAAAGCATCATCTGTGAGGCCTTTATCCTTTCAGCATCACTGAACAGGCATGTGTTTTTTCCAGAAATTTCCAGCTGGAAAAGAAAGTCACAAACTATCTTCTAGCAGAGAGACCTGTCTTCTACCTGTTGTAGGACAGTATGGGATTTACTGTTGTTTGTGTTAAGCTGCGTTTCCAGGCTGGATGTAGCATCCTCATTCCCTAACAAAAGCAGTCATTTTGTTTAAATCCTTGCTCGCCTTTTGAATAGCGAGCTCACTGATCCTTATTAATCACAGGCTCTTTGAATCCTGCACTGTGTCTGTTCTGCACACACAGGCAGGATTGATGTATTGATTGTTTCTTTCCTAAGAGAGAGAATTCCAGCGAGTGAAGTCTTCCCTGAAGCCAGCCTCTGCCAGAAACTTCCACAAATTGTCTTGGCATTGATATGATAAGCTTGTCAGCCACCTACTCTGTATGCTGAATTCCTGTCACCGATGCTAAGTATCTTAACACCCCCCTCCCCCAAAAAACAATACCTTGAATTTATTTTTAATAAGTCAAATTTCTTCTGATGTATGGCAGTAAGTCTTTTTTTTCTCTTTTCTCCTTCATCTCACACATCTTGCTAGTTATGCTGCTGTACCTTTTAATAAAGGACGAGTTCTTCAGCAACAAAGGGAAGAGAATGTTTTCCCAGTGGAAGGCGGTCTATCTTTAGAGGACCTTCTCAGACTTTTTGTTACTATATTATTCACTTTCTTAGTACAATACATATTTCACTTTCTGATTTACTTCCCATCCAAATATCCTGCGTTTCTTGCTAGTGTTCTCGTTTCAACTCTTTTCCACTAAGACTGCTGTTGCATTGATCCATTTTATTTTTGCATAGCATATTCAAATTTTAAATGTAGTTTCCGTGCTTCAGTTGTCTGTTAGTTCTGTGGCAACACATCTTCTGCCTGGGAAATCACATCCTTGTGAAAGAGCTCGAGTATTGTTATTCCTTAAACAAAGTTTGCTCAGAAAGGCATCAGAAAAAAATTTCAAAAGCGTGTGTATCTCTTTGGAATTTAGAGTCAGGCCCTGAAACGTCTGTGTCGGTTTTGAAATTTCCCATTATTCTGTTAATTTGCTGTTACAATTTCAAGGAGCCCCTGGGATTTAGGTAGTCCCCCCGTTGCCTGGGATAGCAGTCACAGGCCAAGGATATTCTTCTTCGAGTTTCCAGTCGGTGTCTTCCACAGGCTTGCATCTTACCCCTACCAGTTCCTAACCTGGCTCTTGCGGAGTAGTAAAGCAGGATTTCTGGGGACCACTGCTCTTGTGTTGGGTCACTCAGCGCTGTGAGGGACAGCCCTGGTTAGGGACAGCCCTGGTTAGGGCAGCCCTTCCTCCGGAGGTGGCTGCCTTTGGCCGCAGGACACCCCAATGTCCTTCAGTCCTAGAGAACAGCTCTAGTCCGTGAGAGCTTCGGTAGTGGGAAAGTGGTTATGTAGCAATGGAAAGCTGTAAAAAGGTGACAGTATTCAGAAAAAGATACAAAAATCATTACAAAATATGTCTTCGTAGCTGCCTGACTTGGCTTCAGGGTTTTCCTTCCGTTTCCTTGATTTAATTAGTCGTTTCACACATGTTCCCATGATCCGCTCCTTTGATAAACGCCATCCTAAATTATACATTAATGGAGAGTGAAGTATCCCTCTTTTCCCAGTGGCATTTTATCCCCAGTTTATGAAACTGAGGCACAGAGATGTTTAGTGAGATCCGCAGATTTCCCAGCTCATCCAGCCTGAGACGCAGTGTTAAATACAACATTTTGGCGTTCTGGCTTAGCGTCTGGTAGTCCACATTTTACTAACTTACTGTCCTTCCAAGATCCCTCTCAGTCATAAACAGTAACATCCCGAAAACTTGTATTCAGTGACCAGTGCCTTGCAAAGACCTGTAAGTGTTGCTTTTCCTTCTTTCAGAAGCGAGCATGCAAGCCGTTAGAAACCATTCCAAACGAGGCTGATGCTCGCCTCATTGACTGTGCCATGGAGCTGGATTCTAAACAGAAAATCTCCACTGACTGTGGTCCTTGGGCTACAAAAACAAAGCAAAATTCAACGGTATGTTTACATTGTCAACAGCATCTCTTTTTTAGAAGGATACATTTAGAATAAATTTTATAAGAAAATGGCAAATAATTGCCCCCCCCCCCTTTTTTTTTTTTTTTTTTGATGGCTTTGTATATGGTTTTGTTCATTAGATTTTTGAAAACCACGGAAGCAGAGGTACTGCCCAGCCTTGCCCAAGATGTATTGCTGGAGAATCTGTAAGTATATTAACCTTCTTTCTGTGACATAAAAGATAGACTTGTTCTTAAGTATTGGATCCATAAAACATAAAGTTAATAAAAACCGCAATTACATTTCTCAGGAATAAAGCATGTAAATAAAAGAAGGCAGATTGATTTAGCATTTCTGAGGTACGCCAGCGGAGCACAAACTAATATGTTTCCAGCAGCAGTTGGAAAATATGGAGACTGCAAACACATTTTTCAAATTCACTCTAAAAAGCAGAGTTTAGGAAGTAACTGAAGCAAACAGTAACATACAACTTCCTCTACCCCATTTTTATATCTTCCTTGATTTACTGGATCATCATAAAATATTCAGGAATCCCATTCTACCTCCAATTTTTTCCTCTAATTGGATACTTCCTTTCCAACGAGTAGACATAGCCTAAAAATACTACACTGTGAACATACCAGAGCTAGTTTTAAACGAGCTAGCGGAAGAACCAGTAGCAATCAGAGCTCAGTTCAGGCAACTTGACATTTCTGAACAACAGTGCAAGTATTTGGACAGCTGAACGGTGCTGACTTCTAAGCTGATTCAGACAGGCTGCTCTTGGCATCCAAAGCAAGCTGTTTAAAACCTGTAATTTTATTATTTTTTTTTTAATTTATGTAGGCTGTAGTCACAGCTATGACTTGGCAGAGTGTAGTATGCCGTAGTACTGCAGCAGTAACACTAGAATCTCCCTCTAACAGATGACTGTTCCCTCAACCACTCTTTTTAGCCCTGGGTAGGAGGCCAAAACCCCTGAGAGATAATGGCTGGTAACAGTGAAAGAGGTTATGGTATTCCTACAATTTTGTTTTTCATGCAGATTGCATGCAAACGTGCAAGTTTCTTAAATATATGGGAGCTACTCTTGACTTTTTTTGCATCCTCCGTATCCTTTTGAACCATCACACAGGATTCCTTATGGTGCCAAAAATGAGGAGAGGTGTGGGGGATTGCTGTGCACTTCGGAAACACTGAATGTTTATAGCAAAATCTGTGATTTGATGGAATTAATGGCAAAGTTTCCTTCGAATGCTGTGAGACTGAGGGTGCTGTCATAAGTCAGGAGCCGTGACTGAAAAAACATTTACTGTGTTAATTTATTTCCGATCATCTTTAAAAATAAAATAGAAACCAGACCCAGGGTAAGAATATTGAAACGGGTATGACCAAGTATGTGGATTACTAAGTTTCAGCCTTCAGGATGTGATACTGTCTTTGGGGGCATGGAGAACATCTCAGGGATTAAAACCCCCCAAAAAAGAAAAGAACATTTTGGGTTCAAAACCCAAATTGCCACATCAGGAAGCCAGTTTTGTTGGATTCCAGAATTACAGTGACGATGTTAGAGTTTGTAAAATTCTTCTGTATCAGTGACCACTTAATTTTGGAAAATTATGACTGAGTACAAATACAAAAATTCCAAATAACGCCATTTCTATTTTAAGTCAGATTAGCCTGATGTGATTTTTTTTTTTTTAACTATGGACCAGTAATGAACTTGAGATAAAAGCCAGAGGAGGGAATGCTCAGCTCTTCCACAAACATTTGTGCATTGAAGTTTGGTTATAATGGATGACCTATTTACTTTTAAATGCTGTTCCACTACAGCTGTAGGAAACGAGGATAACAACTTGCTAACTTCACTTGGTGAGAACTGGAATCTCAAAACCAAAGAATTTTTCTACTTGACTGTCCTGTGATTTCAATATAGAAAATCAAGGGGGTGTTATAAAAGTCTGGAGCCCTTGTAGAGCTGCTTGTTAGACTTCCTGCTAAATTATCCTCATACTGTGGAGTTGAAATGGAAAAAGCTTTGCTCAAATTAGGCTGATTTTAAATATGACTGATTTTTTTTTTTTTTTTTTTTTTTTTTTTTTTTTTTTTTTTTTTTTTTTTTTTAAAACGTGATTCGGATTTCCATGACATACCCCATAGTGGGGGAAAAAGTTTACCTGTGTGTGTTGCAAAATGTCAAATATAAATCATGCTGTGAATGCAAGGACACTCACACAAGTCAGTTTGTATCAGGATCGTTACGTTAGCACAACACAATGTGACTTCAGCTATATCACACAGTGGATGATGAACTGACCGGATAGATTTGTTAATTGTTCTCTTCGGATAATCAGCTATTTGTGGCTGGTAACATAACGGATAATACAGTTCTATTTTAATAAATTTGGTAGGAATTATATTAGCAAATTGTCGTCATTCTTAAAATAACAAAAAGCTTCTAGTAAGAGTACCATGTTTGGTAAGCGGGTAAGAACTCAGATAACTTCACAGTTAAAATTTCAAGAAAATCAGAGACTGTCACAGCGATTAACACGCACCATGCAAGTCCTTCAGAACAGCTGAAATGAGCAGAAGGGAGGAGCCTACAGACAGCAAGATAAAGAATGTTGTAATTATTTTCATAATCAATAATGTTAAAATCCTCTAAGAAGCTTTATCCAACTGACGGTAGGGACGTTCAAAGAAATTAAAACATCCAAACTGGAACGAGTCAAACGCAAAGCATATTGGGCTGAGACAACTTTTCTTTGTTGTGGGAAGTCTTACCAGGATTGTACTTGGCGTCGAGAAGTCCTGACACTTCTGGAGCTCATCAGCCATGCGAGGAGCTTGCCTGACGGCAGCTTTCCTCAGCACCCTTAATTCTGTGTCACTGCTGTCAGTGCTGTGAACGTCAGCGTGTATTTAGAGGCAGCATCGCTGTTGGGTTTGCTCTCTTCACTTCTAGACCTCTTTTTCTACGTTGAATGACTACCACGTGTTTCAGAAGGAATAATAGGTGTGCATTAAACCACGATTTGAGAAGAGAGCACTACTGTAGTGGCATTTTTTTGTAAGCTTTCTTTGGACTAATGCGCTATTGACTATTTAGGCAGGGACTTAGAAGAAGAGGAAGGAGTGGCGTTAACTAGAAACTAGGTAGGATTTCAGGGAGGGAGGAAGACCACCATCATTCTTGAGATTTTACTGTGTTACATGATAACTAGAGGCAATGCTTTCTTTGTTCCAGAAGTATGATTGTGAGTACATTCTTTAAACAAATGCAGCGTGATATATAATCTTTAAACAAATACAGTGTGATATAAAGAAATGCAGACTTAAGCTGCCACCCAGGAAGTAAATTTCTGTTCTATCCTCAAAATCTTTAAACATGTAATGATAGAATAGAATAAGGTTTACAAGTATGATGCTAAAATTGTCTGTATTCTTTATGGGTATATTTTAATTTCATGTGCAAAACTAGCATGATAACTCAGTCATGTTGCTTACACAGGTTACGCTGAATGATCCCTTTACTGTCCAGCCTTCTTAGTTATCCACTAGTCCTTCAGGAAAAAATAGGGAACTTTTGTGATGTGGCTAGTGGGACTGTCAGTTTATTTGAAAATAAAGTTTAAAAGTATATACTAAGGAAAGAAACTTGCGTTTTTGATGAGATAATTTTTAGTGACATGAAATTTTGTCATTTCAGGGACACTTCAGTCATATCCTGGGCTTCTAGAAATCGAGAGGCGGCAGATCAGCAACACTGCTTTTCTATGTAAATCCTAAAGATGCACCTGTGAGCCCTGTACAGCTGGATCTCTGTACATTCACTCACGGCGTGGATTTGTCTGTGGTATTCGGCATATGGCACTTTGCTGTATGTGTTACTCTTTCAGTGCACAATTATGGATATCATTGTTTTTACACTTGAAAAAATGCTTCTGCTTTTAAGGTGGTTCAGTGTATGTTTTTTTAAAAAAAAAAAAAAAAAGGTTGATTTAATGTTTTAGACTAGTTAAGTTGATCTGCCCTTTGGCCCAGCCTTCACTTGGGGCTGGGCCAAAGGTCATGTTGATACAAGAGATTTTCCTGTCTCTCTCGGGCACTTTCCCTGATACTCTTGGAAAGACGGTCCCTGCATTTACACGGGTACAGGGCCCGCGATTTTAGCTCAGCCCTATATATGCAGCAGAAATGGGAGGGCAGAACTGTCTTCATTTTTAGATGGCTGTTCACCTTTGCAGCTGTGAAGGCTGGTAGAAATCCAGTTGAAACTTGTGTTTAAATCCAAAACATTCATCCAACTCAGGTGTCTTACAGCAATACCTCTAGTTTGTTTATAACAAGCAGAGTTTGTGAATGTGGCAGGTAGGTAATAGAAAAGGGAGTATTATTTGAACAACCCTCTATAAAGTAAAGATTAATAGCAGTTCAGCTCTGTGGAGTCCTCACGAAGTTGTTAAGATACCATCTGACTCTGCCTTTCCAGTTATTGTGGTATTAGAACAGATCCGTTTAAAAAGTTGTCATCCAGCATAATTTTATTGGCTTGCGTCACGACTGATTTCATCCGCATTTTGCCCGTATGTAGAACTCTGCAATTTTGACACACGTTCAGATTTTCAGATTCTTAAGATAGCCGGGTTGTGCTGTTTGGGTGTGACCCCTGGGTGGCTGCTCTGGCTTAGGCAGACGGGGCCTGAGAGCTCAGAACTGACTGGCAGCGTGTTAACCCTCTGCGCTGGAGGGAAATTGCTGTGACCTGCCAAAAGGTCACAAAGCGAGCGATCTCCACCGTCTGCAGAACTGCTGAGCTCTGGCTGTGCCCGCCTGCCACTCAGCTTTCGGGCAGAGTTCAACCCAAAACAGATAGGGCAGGCATGACAGCATTTGGCCTCTCCTGTTCCGAGAGCAGCCCGTAGCCGCTTTAAATTAAAATGGTAGCTCCAAAGTTGCAAAAATCTAGTGACAGGCTTTTAAAGGTTAGTTTCCCAGCGGGGTTTATCAGGCTGCAAAATCCTTAGACAAAGGCTTTTCAGACTCCTAGAATGCTTTCCTGCATTGTGTGTGGAGTTGCAGCTAGCACTGAATTGACTGTTATTAAGGGGGTAATATTTCTAAATATGTGAATGTCATGGAAATACTGAATTCAGTTTAAGTAAACGATGAGGAAATAAGTATAAAGCAGACCTGCACTGAATTGGCATACGACTATTTGGTTAGGAAAGGAGTACGTTTCCTCCAAGACAATATAAATTTTAGTGACACAGAAAAAAAAAAAATAAATTTCAAAGCAAAATTTTTCAGACACCTCAAAATTTTCTTCAATCACAAGAACAGTGCAATCCATTAAAAGATCAGATCTCCACGAAACAGGGCAGTTCTAAAAATTGCACTGACCCTGTTACCTTGCAGATCTGAAAGGCTCCCAGTACAGGTTGATGCAAGCAATAGAATCTGTCCGAGCTAGAAAGGAACATACCCCCACTTGAAACGACAGTAGGATGAGCACGTTCCTGTATGCTGGTGTCAGAGTTTATCAACTAGTGCAAAATAATAATACAAAATGTTTTCTGAAGACTGAAATGCCGTATTTGTTACCAAGATATCCAGATCATATTTTGTGGGCAATTAATTTTTTTACAACATTTTCCAACCCTTGTTTTTTTTTTTAAAACTCCTGGTGGTAATAGCAGTCAGGAAAAAAAAAAAATATGGCAAAGTCTCTGTTCCTCTGCTGTAAAAGTTGAAATAGCTGCTTGAAGGCAAAAGGCCAAAAAGTATCTGGAATTTAGTTACTGTGAAATGACACATAAACCTGTTATGCTTCATCAAGGAACACGTATGACAAGTAACGAGTAGTAGAACAGTGTATAGTCAAAACTGAGAGTATCCAAAGAGGAGAATAGCAAAAGTAGGCTTGGAGTCCATGAGGGAAGAGTTTTCTGCTAGAATATATTAGAGAAGTATGCCAGCATGTTGAAAACACAGGGGATATGTCTATGGATTATCAAACCAAAAGGGTGCTTTTCATTAAATAATTCAGATTTTATCATGGTAAGAATTCAGAGACCTGCGTACATATACTTCTTCTGTTTGCTTTAAACTTAGCTGTATTTTAATCAGGCATGGAGTATGGTAAAAACGAGAACCAACTGGTTTTCCTTACGGTCCTCATAAGTTTTGTGCCATGTTCTTTTTCATTCTTTTCCTTTTGGAGTAACTATTACTTGTTTTCTGTAAAATCTCATCGTACATAAATCGCAGGACTGGTCATAGTTAGTGGTTGTATGACAGAGGCTGATGAAGTTATACTAGCGTTCGATTTTAATGTAATTTTTTTCGTCTTGGTCTTCCCATTGTTACTGTACCCTGTGCAGGTATTTCATTGCACTGTCCACCCTGACTCTCAAGTCCATCCTTGGAGATTACGGCATCCATACAGATGAACAAAATAGGAGCTTTCTCCAGAAACCCAGCATAGGATATGTCAGATCAATTCTATAATAGTATTTAAATAAAAACCCCCTCTGCTCCCCTGTTCGTCTCTTTTGAGGAGGAACTCCAAAAAGGGGCGTAGAAATAGATGAGCTAGTGGAAAGTTAACTCCCCTCACTTTCAGCCAATCCCCGTTACCACTTTCACCCAGTTACAGTGTTGTCAATAAAATGTATTAGAATAGAAAAGGAATGAAAACCGCTCGGCAGTTAGTTACCATGTCTGCTGCATTCATAAGACAATTTGTAATGAAAGAGTGAGTATTAAAGAAAAAAAAAGAATGGTTTTGATACAGAAATATGATGCCTTTCTAAGCAGAGATTTCTATGAAACCCTGTCTGTATCTTTCTATTCTTTCAGAGTTGGAAAGCGTTATAATTTTTGCATCCCTAACATTTCAGTGTCCAGGTTAATCTCCCCTGGTTATTTAAGCACAAAAGCGCCTGGCTGGCTCACAGGGGAGCACCTCGTGCAATATCCTGGGTGCTCTGGTGACTCGTAGCAGGCATGGGAAGAGTCCAAGAGACAGGGCACGTGTTGAACGGAAAGGCTTTTTACAAACACAATCCCAGTATTTTAATTCCGGTTTTGTTGTGGGCATCGTTTCTTGCCTCACGGCTTAGCCTTGAACATCGGATACCACAGAAATTACGAAAATGTCTGCAGTTGCCAACAGTGTTTTTTAGCTTTGCTGTTGTTTGTTGATATAAAAAAATGCATTGCCTATCAGGAGAAAGTTAAACTTGACTTTGCTCTTTCTACTAAGCGTTGGTATCTTAAGAAGTAGTTCCTGTATGACTAGAATTCGAGTGTGGGTGTGTGCTCGTGCTTAATTTGCACAGCGTAAGGATACTCTTCCTAGTAGTTGTCAAAACCAGCAGCTCCCTCCTTTCTGTTTTCCTTGAGCTGGCTTACAGTATGAAAAAAAAAAAAAAAAAGACAAAGAAGGAATGTTTGGGAGTTGCAGTTTGAGGCAGAAGGGCATCTGCACTGCACGTTTGTATTGGAGTTCTACATCCCTCCTTGTTGCGGGAGGCTGTAAATCCTAACACAGACCTGAACAGATTTTTACTTACGTTTCTGGGAATGCTACTGCTGATACATAAAGCGTGCTGGACAGACATACACTGCAGTTCTTTTTGGTGTAAGTTGTCCCTTTGTGAGCTGGAGTTTAGGCCCGAGCATTCCCGGCTTTGCGGGGCAGAGCAGCGCAGCCTGGTCCCACTCGTTGTAGGACCCTGATCCCTGATTTTTTTTCCCAAATGAGAGCGCATACGCTTCGGGATCAGCTTTAAAGTGAAGCTTTTGGCTAGGAAGTGATTCCTTACTCATTGTAGGACCCCTGATCCCTGATTTTTTTTTCACAAATGAGAGCGCATACGCTTCGGGATCAGCTTTGAAGTGAAGCTTTTGGCTAGGAAGTGATTCCTTACTCCGCGCTTTCTAATGGGGCGAATTTATGCATCAGCCAGGGTGAAACCAAATTGTAGTTAAATGCATTGAAGGTTTGTAATACTGATATTTTTAAAAACCCGATGTGCTGCGTTTGTAATCTGGTTCAGGATTTGTCAGAATCCTGAAGCTGCTGTGATAAGTACAGACGAATGCCGTACGGGTTGGGACAGGTGAATATCTCAGTAAAGCAGATTTGTGTCAAATCTGCAGTAGAACCACAAAATTATTTTTGTAAGACTTTTCTTCTCCTTGTATAACTATGAGATTTTGTTTTATTGACAAAAATTGTATACTCTACATATTTCGTAATACTGTGGTTTGTACGCAAAATAACCCGAGCGATACTTTATTTACATGTATATAGCAAGAGAGGCACGTGGTCTGTTTTTAATTCTGGTTAGAATGATACAAATTGATATTTTTAACTTTGTATTTTGTAAATTGTTCCTTACGGAAGCAGAAGCATTAAACACCACTTTGGCTACAGGATGGAGTTGGCTGGTTTTGTTACTCCGTCAATAACCGAAGCGCACCCTGCAGACAGGGAGGTATAAAGGTAAATTCAGACGGTTTGCGGGTTCTCTTCCGTACAGTTTCATTTGTGCGCTATAGCCCACACAGCGTTTCCCCCTCGTGGGTGTCGTGGTTTAGGCCTGGTTGGCAGCCAACCACAATGCAGCACCTCTCTCTCCCTTCCCCTCCGGCAATGAGAAGGGACAGAGAGCCAGGCTTGGGGTTCAAGATAGGACTGGGATGGGGGAAAATCCCCCCTTTTATGATCATGAGCAAAAGGCAGACTCGTTAGGGGAAGAAAAAAAGAACATACATTTATTACAGACACTAACAACACCTAACAGAGTAGGACAGTGAGAAGCATTGCCACATCTTGAGAACACCTTCCCCCCACCCCTCCCTTCTTCCCGGGCTCAGCTCTGCTCCCGATATCTCTACCTCCTCCCCCAGTGGCGCAGGGGCAGGGAATGGGGGATGCAGTCAGTGCTGCCACTTCCTTCATCTTCGGTGAGGGGAGTGTCCAAAACTTGTTCCCCCCTGCTCCATCGTGGTCCCCCTCTCACAGGAGACAGTCCTCCACAAACTTTCTCCGACTTGAATTCCTCCCACGGGCCGCAGCGTTCCCCGCACTGCTCCGTCATGGGTCACTAACTTCCTCCGACTGGATTCTCTCCCACGGCTGCAGCCCTTCCCGAGCTGCTCCAGCGTGGGACTCCCCCGCATGCTGCAATCCTCCCAGCACTGAATTACAGCAGCGGGGCTGCCTTTTCCCATGAGACCCCGGCCTTCTTCAGGCACAGAACCTTGATCTGCTGAGCAGGAGCCACAGGCCATAAATCAATGTCTGCTCCACCGTAGATCTCCATGGGTGGCAGGGGGGGCCGCCCTGCCGTCTCCCCACAGGATACAGGGGGGTCTCTGCTCCGGCACACCTCCCCCCTCCTTTCTTCCTCCGTTCCTCCACTGACCTTGGTGTTCATGCAGCTGCAGCGACTCCTCCTCACAAGTCCGACTGCCCGTCACCACGTCCCTTCTTAAATACGTTATCGCAGAGGCGCAGCCGATTGGCTCAATTTCCCAAACAGAAGTGGAGCTGACGTGGAGCTGGGGGAGCTTCGAGAAGCTTCTCACAGGGGGCCGCCCCGATAGCCCCCTCCCCTGCCACCAAAAAACTCCACCACTCACTCAACCCAGGACAGTGGGCCAGATGTGTGGGTGATGTGCGAGATCAATATTGTGAAACAAAGTCATTCCTCTCTAGGTTTGGTTTTAACAGTTAAACATTAATGTTTTTCGACCGATCCCTCTCCATCCCTGTCTCCAGATGTTGTTTTTCCTCGCCTGGTTGGAACACCTGAGGATCAGACCCGAGTTCCTGTGGATTTCGGTAGAGAAGGGGGGGTGCCTGGATGCCTTTTGTGAATCTAAACTCTCGTCGTCTCCAGCTGTGGCTTTCTTTAGGCGACGGTTCTGCCTCGCAGCGGCACGGTTTGGCAGCAGCCCGTCGCCGCAGTTGGGTGCGAGGGCTGGTCCCTTCCTCAGTGGCTCCTAAACCGCACACAGGGCCCACGCCGCCCCCTTTGGAAGCCCTTAGCTTGCCATTTCTGCAAAAATCTTCCCCCCCCCCCCCCAAAAAAAAAATCAAATGGAACTTGGTGGGTAAATAAGTCGGTGGGTAAATAATTTAACGGTCCGCCTTGGAAAAGACCAGCCTTGGCCGCGCGGGGCAGGCTGGCCGTCCTGGAAAAGGGCCCGTTGTCCTCACAGCCGCGGCACGGGAACCGAGGGGGAGGGAGGACGAAGGCATCGGGTTTTGTTTGCATTTATTTTCTTCTTTTGTCACCCGTTCTTGCCTGTATTGACGGTAAATAACTCTCTGTCTCTTTAGAGGAACGGGAGCTTGGCTGGTTAGCGTTGTACGTACACCTCGTATGCAAAGGTAAACGGGTGAAGACGAGAATCCGTCCTGCTTTGATGTCTGAAGTATCAGGAGCAAAGGTGGAAGGGGTAGGATAAATGGCATATTGATGGCAATAAGAAACACCTTACCTGTGTTATGTAAAACTTCACTTTTAGCTGCTTTAGACTGCGGTACTAACGTTTGCTGAACTATTGATCGGATGATAATTACACATCAACTTGTCCTGACTGCCCCCCAAAAAAGGTGGAAAGACACAATTTTGGGTTTAGTATGTGGGGTTTGAAGGCAGTCTGTATACAACTAGCCACAAAGACAAGGAATTTATACTTCGACAACGTAGATGGTGAAATTGATATATCCAAACTTAACGGTGTTTGTGTCTAAATTTTGTAGGAAAACCTGAAATACATACAAAGACCTCGGCAGCTCTCCTGAGAACCCTGCGCCGTGGTTCCTGAGAACATAACGTGGTATCCTGTGTTAGCATGTTAACAGTCAGACATTAATCATGCTATTTTTGCCTTGGTTATTGGCAGTAATTCTAAAATTAAGAGTTACACCTTGACATTTTGTCCCGCATGAAGCTTGCCGTTCAGGAAAACTGCACAGGAGCACCGCGTGTGGAAAAAAGTTATGTATTGCTCCGAGAAGCACCAAGAGCTCCCATGGCTGGGGAGAGAGATTTCACTAAAGTGACTTTTACTGAAAATTCAAATCCGAGGTGTAGTGGGAAATATCCCACAGTCAAAGGGCAGCGAGTCTCATCATCTGTCGCTTTGTCTTCCTGAGTTGTTCCCAACTATTTCTCAAGCAAGCGAGAAAAACCTCGGCCGCCTTGGTTGCTTTTTAAACACGTGCAAAAAAAAAAAAAAAAAAATCCCCGGAAGATCAAACAGGCGCTCGTTGGTCTGAACGCCCCCCCCCCCCCCCCCCTCCTCGGTCAACTAATACGTCCTCACCACCTTCACAAAGCTTCCATGCCGTTCCACGAGCGGGCACGTGTGGGGTTCCCCCCCCCCCCAGGATTTGAGGACGGCGTGGTCGGTCTTTGCTGCAACACCCCCAGCCGGGCGTCCCGGTTTTCCCGGTTTTTCCCAGCCGAGCTCTCAAACCCAGGGGGTTGCCCCCCCCCCCCCGGCCGAGAGGAACGTGCGCCTTCAGTACGCGGTGGTGTAGGAGACCGTGTAAGGACTTTTGTCTCTCTCAACATCGCCGCTGCGCCGCTACCACTTCCCGGCCCCCCGCACCCTGTTGATGCGACAGAGCACGCCTGGAAGGAGACGGGTCGTCCCCGAAGAAACCGCGGCGTCTGCCCGGAGCGCAAATACCAACATCCCTGGCTGTGCCGGCCAGGCTGCCCCGGCGCGCGAGCCGGGTCGGGAGGAAATTGAGGTGAGGAAGATGTGCAGAGGCTGAAGGCGTCGGGGGGCTGACCCTCGCCAGCGAGACCCCCCCCCGACCACCCGGGCACGCGCGCGTGGAGGTCCACGGGGCGGCACATGTTACAACGAGCTCCGTGGAAATGGGCGGGCTTGTCCGGGAAATCGTGGGGACCGAGGCGAGAAAAGGACTGCGTGCTCTGTACTGGCGTGTGTGTGTGTGTGTGTGTGCATCGTCACGTACATGTGTGTTGGTGAGTGCATGGGCTCCCAAAACATCCCTCTTGTGGACTTCAGCAGAGCTTGGACCATCATCGATTGCACCGAGACTGAGCCAACGGGCCAGCGCGGGCTCGTGGTGGTGGTGGTGATTAATCCTGCCACATCTCTACCGTTTTCTAGCTTAGGGATTTGGACTTTCTCTTCCTTTTTCTCCCCGTCCCATCGCTCTTATCAGCCGCTTGTTTAATAAAGATCACAAGGTTGTCCGGCATCTGACCTTGTTTGTGTCTTAATCTCGCTCTTGGGATCGTTTAAGAACCCTCCCCGATATCGGATCGGGACAGGTGGCTCTTCTTTAGCGTGCGACAGATGCCGCATTAACTTCTGAAGTCCGTCCTACTTAACGCCGTTTTCTTTGTAGAATCGGGGGTGGTGCTATTTGTGTGTGACTCTAGCGTGGTTGCCGAAACGATCCAGAAATCACTGCGTGATGTTTGCTTGCAACACGGGGTGTCATTCATGAGTTATACATAAATGGCAGCTTTACATATTTAAAAGGAACATGGACTGCTCTCATATCTGAAGTATGTTTCCCAGGAGGTAACACCACCATTTGATCTATTTTTGATTAAAATGTAAAAATTAAAAATTAAATCAAATGGTGGTATAATTCCTTTGGGAAAACATACTTCAGTTATGAAGTATTCCCCATAGTAACCTTGAGAATCTTACAGCTGTATTGTCTCATCTGTAGGTGGTCTTTTTATGTCTCACATAATTAAAATGAATTGCTGTTCGAGAACCCGTACCGCTGCATGCAGATTTATGAACCTTGAGGCACCTCCGTTCGCAGACAAACAGGGGTATCAAAAGCTGGCTGCGCCAGTACGCCGCGTCAAGGCGGCTACGGGTGATGGGGGGGGTGTTTTCTGGGGAGCGGCGCTCCCCTCCGCCTCGGCAGGGCGAGCCAGGCACGGGCTCAGAAACGCCGGCGCAGCTCCGGGGAAAGGGGGGGTGGCTGCAGAAGGACGGCGCCACGCCTCGGCGTAGGACACGGGGTGGGGTGGGGGGGATAAAATATTCCAAGACGGTTTTATAGAGTAAGGAATGGCTAATGCGGCAACCGGGGCGGGGGGGGGGAAGGAAAAAAAAAAAAAAAAAAACAAAAAAAAAAGTGAAATCGGATTTACTCGGAAAACGCGCTCTCCAAAATCTAATGCAACTTGTTTATAGCAAGCTGCTTTATCAGGCTGACTCGGAATATAGGAATGTGTATTTGATAAGATTAGAGAATAGTGGGGGATCAGAAAAAATAAGACTATAGAATTTGCATTCACATTCTCACGCATCTGAAGGACAAAAAAAAAATGTCATTTATTTTTTGTTCGGTTTTGGTTCTCTTAGCCCCGTCGACGCTATCCATAACAATGACTTGTGACTGTGCATTCTGCTCAGGCTGTAATTAAAACTTCCCTAACGTACATTTCAGTAAAAAAAAAAAAAAAATGGGTGGGAGTGAAACGCTCAGATTTACTGTTTAAATAGAGGGGAAAAAAAAAAAAAAACAAACCACAACTTCTAACAATGAAAACATCGAGTCTAAGAGTTCCATGGTGCCTCGTAGAAACATTTTGTAATAAGCAGCAGGAGCGTACAAATTTCAATGTAATACTTAAAAGAAAATGTCTCTGATCTTTGAATTTCTTTATAGAGGGGAGTTTTTAATGTATAATCAGACTAAAATCCTCCTGTAATTGCACAGTGAGAGGCCTGTGAAGTTTCGGGAAGGCTGCGGATGGAATACAGACCTACAGAAGCAAGAAGGACGTTTCCTAATCCGCGGAGCCAGCAGCGCGAAACCAGCCCGAGGGTCCCTCCCCGCGTGTGGGGTGATCTCCACAGGAAAAAAAAAAAAAACAAAACAAAAAAAAAAAAAAAACAAAAAAACAAACCAACCTGTTTGCTGCGTGTCCACGGCTCTGGCAGCAAGGTGTGAGACCCCCCGGCAGGCTCAGAGCTGCCCTTCGGTCAAGCACAAGCGAAGGGAAGGAGGAGGAAAATATCCGTGTAGTCTTCCGTATTAAAATCGCAGTGCTCCGAGCCAGCCCGCGGGACAGCGGCAAATAAAAGCTCAGAAAATAAGGAAGCGGATGGAAAGTTTGGGAGAGAGCTCGGAGCAGAAAAATTAAAACTGCAGGAGCGGCGTTTGGATTTTTCATACATACAAAGGACAAAACGCCAGCTGGGTGAGAAAGCAGGAGCCTCGCAAACCGAAACTATTAAAAAAAAAAAAAAAAATTCACCCGGAGCAGAGCGTCGTTACTTAAGACCTTGATTCTGCGAGTTTTTTCCCAAGCCTAAGATCTGGATCCACCGAGCCAGGCTCGTCCGTGTCCCGGGAAGAACGCAGCCCGGGTCGTTCCCGGGGGGTCCCACCGCCCTCCGGAGCGGCGGGCGCTCGGCCAGGCCAAGCCCAAACCCCCCCGTGCGCCCCCCCAGCTCGCACCAACCCGCCCCTTCCTTCACCCCCACCCTCCCCCCCCCCCCCCCCCCCCCCGGGGCTGCCTCCATCACCCCCGCTGCTTGCTTCAACTTTTGAACAAAAGTATTTTTTTTTTAATCGATGGAACAAGAAGCCTTTAAAGAAAAGAAAGTTACCTGAGCTCGACGCCTCTATCTGGAAAACGCCCAGGCAGTGAAAGACGTTTTGAGTCCATGATTCGCCGAGGAAAGAGTCGGTGAAGCTTTGAAAATGTGAACGGCCGAGCAAAAGCTAAGAAGGAAAAATGTTCAGGGGAATAGTTTTAAAAAGGGTTTAGTAAAAAAAGGGAAATGGCTATTCGGAGTTCTTTAGTAAAGAGATGCTCTTTCCTTGAAGCTTAGATAATTTAGGATAGTCAGTAAATAACATCCAGAATCTTCTGTCTGCTCTTAATTGCCAGGCTTACATCCATCTGGCAATTTTGCTGGTGACCATGTTGAATTCCGTTAAAAGTTGCGTTCTGACGCAATTGTACTCTGCATAATCTGGCGCTTCCTCAGTCTTTACGTGCGGCAGCAAATCACTTCCCCAGCTCAGAGGCTGCGACGGGTATTTTAGAAGAGGGGTTAGAAGTTTTCCTCTCCCGTTTCTTGACAGAGATGCTGCTATGGGTGTCGAAAAGCAGCGGGATGACGCGGTTTTAGCGCCGGCCATTCTGACGAGCAGTTTGGGCTGCTTATGGTGAGCTGCCGAGGGTGCGCTCCTGGAATAGCTTGGGGGTGAAAAACCTGCTTTTTCTGAGTGAGTCCTGAACCCCCTGCGCCTGGGAACGGGCTTTAAATAAAGCTCTGCCCTGTGAGAGGTGCTTGTTTCGAACCGAGGAAAACGGTGAGTTCGCACGATAGCAATCGGTCAGGGTGCCGATGCAAATCCGGCGCTAGAGGGGAGAGGAGGAATCGATATTTTCCGTGGGTTTATGCTGGAAATAGGGAACGTCTGGGTT